ATGTAAGGTGGTAATAACAACAAAAAGTGGGTATAGGACATGTAAGAACTCTACTGTATTTAAATTTTTTCTGTAAATCTATACTTGCTCTAAAATGTTTATATAAAACTTTAAAAATCTTTAAATGTTACATATGTTTTAAAACAAACATTAAGATGTTATATACCACCTCCCCATGACTCATGTAATCATTGTGCATTGCAAGCAGGTACTAATAAAAATTAAAAATAACACAAGCAAGCTCACACATGTAATCCCAGCACTCTGGGAGGCTGAGGTAAAAGATTGCAAGCTCAAGTACAACCTGGGCAAATTAGCAATTTATTAATATCTTGTCTAAAAAAAAAATCTGGAGGGGATTTAGCACAGTGGTTCTGCCACCTGCCTTGCAAGTGCAAGGACCTGAGTTCAATCCCCGCTGCCAAAAAAAAAAAAATTAAAAAAAAAATCTGGAGATGTAGCTCAGTGAGAAGGCACTGGGTTTGATCCCAACTGCTGCAACAACTACAACAAAAACAAATAAAAAACACTTAAGGAGGTGCTGGGGGATGTAGCTTAAAGGTAGAGGGTGTGCTTAATCCTGGGTTTGTTCTCCAGCACTGTCAAAACAAACACATGAGGAAAACTGTTTCTCAGGACTCTCACACAACACAGAACACTTCTGTGACCAGATGTGTGGAGACCCCCCTCCTCCCCACCAAACAATTCTCCAGCAGATATGGCCTGGGTGCCTGGTGTTTTCTAATTCAATTAAATTCTGACCCTACCTGGGTTAGAACTTTGCTTCTGGCCACTGAATATACACTGAAGATCCCACAACTTCCTCCTCTGGTTGAATAATTTTCTAGAATCATTTGCAGAACTCAACACACTAACTTCTCCTGGTTTATTATATAACTGTATAGGATACAACTTTGAACATCCAGATGGAAGAGACGCAGAGCGCAAGGTACGAAAGGTGGTAGAGGAGAAGTTCCATGCCTTCTTTGGGCACATTTCCCCCAGCACTACCATGTTTTTCGCAAAATGGAAGTTCATCAACTCTGGTTGCTCACGAGTTTTGTTTTGGTTTCTCAGTACTGAATCTGGGGCCTTTCACAGGCTAACCATGTAGTCCACCACTGAGCTATGGGCTTTGCCCCAAGAGTTTTTATAGTTTAATCGTTACCTTTCCACCTTCCATTTCTATTTCAGATTATTTTCTTAGCACATGCTTGTAGTACATAATGTTTACACTCCTTGTGTGGAGTTGGTACTTCCAACTCTCCTCTCCTGGTGGTTGGTAGGTGGGTCAAAAGTTTGAGAGTTCAAACCCTCTAATTCTCTTATGGCTTGTTCTTTTTTTTTTTGGGTACTGGGGATCGAACTTGGGACCTTGCGCTTGCAAGGCAGGTGGCGGAACCACTGAGCTAAATCCCAGGCCCTGGCTTGGTCTTTCTGATGACTGGCCCCAGGAGACTTCTAGGTTAAGAGTTCATCCTCAGGGTAGAGAATGGGGTATCAATTTTAAGAACAAAAGGTCAGTACTAAGATGAATGATGATTCTGAAAATACTGTAGTGTTTAATCACTCAAGTTGTTCTCTGGCTCACAACCATGAATTCATACCTAAATCCTAAAGGAGGCCTTTCTCTGAATAAAAATGGAAAGTTCTATTTGTATTTTTTGTGGTACTGGGGATTGAAATCAGGGTCTTTACATCCCCAGCCCTTGGTTTATTTGTTCATTTATTGAAAGTGTTGCTAAGTTGCCCGGCCTGAGTTTGAACTTGCCATCCTCCTGCTTCAGTGTCCCAGAGTGCTAGAATTACAGGTGTCCCTCACTATGCCCAGTTTAGAAAAAAAAATTGTGTATATTTAACTTTATTAGTACTTGTTTGGAGTACATAAAGTTTACATTCATCTTAGGGGGTCGGTTCATGTACATCAAATTTGATTCTTCTTTAAATCCGTTTCCCACCCCCTTCCCTCCTTCCTTCTCTAAATCCCCTTTCCCTATAAATTGTTGGGAGAGAGCCAGGCACAGTGGCACTTGCCTATAATCCCAGCTATCTGGGAGGCTGAGAAAGTAAGATCATGAGTTTGAGGCCAGTGTGGATAACACACAGATCTTGTCTCAAGAAACAACTCTGGGAGACAATGGGACTTGGGTGATATATTATGACAAAAAGAGAAGGAAAACAAATTCATTTCAGAAAAAGTTCCCCAGAAAGTCCAATGCAACTTTGGCATGAGCAGGGAACCTGAACTATAGGTCAGTGACAGGACTTTGTGTGTGGACACAGGAGTCTTGGGCACCACGCTTTGCCCATGTGAAGAGCTTCAGCTTCGTGGTGATTACATGAGGGCCAGACATGGGATGAGGAAAGATTTTATGCTACCTCAAGTAGTTGGGACTTTGAAGACTCATAATTCAACAGGATGGGCAGCCTGTCAGACTCAGTGTGTGTCAGCTATCATAACCCTGCCTGACTATCCTGGTGATGTAGCCTGGAAAATATGAATTACATTTCCACACATTTTTCTTAAGCCTTTGAAGATTCTTATTGGTCAAGTATTGAACAGATAACAAATAGTGAGGAAATGCTCAAACAAGATTTCTTTTTTATCAGCTTTATTTTGAAATAGCTATAGATTCACATGGAGTTTAAAAACAGCACAAAGATGTCCTGTGTACCCTTCGGTCATTTTCCTCCAACAGTACCCCTATATGAACTGCAGCACACTATCAAAACTAGGACGTTGACAAGGGGGTTGTCACCAGACCAGTCTGAGGAGTTCCTCCAAAGAGGAGATAAGGACCTCAACTCATCTGCCAAGTATGTTCTTTTTACTTTTTAAAAATGTTGACACAGGTTCTCTCCAAGTTGTTAAGTAGTCCCACTGGGCTCCGATTTGCTGTCCTCCTGACTCATCCTCTCGGAGCGCTGGGATTACACAAGTACACTAACACACCTGGCTTGAATAGGTGCTTGACTCTTGTCACAGAAAAAGAATTTCAGGATGTATCAGTGAGAGCCACAGATAGATTTTACTAGGCAGAGTTAAAGAAGTAATTCAGAGACAATAGAGTGAGGACCCTCAAGAGAGAGCTGCACTATGATCTGACATTAATGCTATACATGCGTTCTTGGAGGTATCCTTTAAGATGTGTTTTTTGGGGGGAGGGGTCTTTGTTGTTTTTTTTTTTGAGGCAGGGTCCATATAGGAAGGAACTATATAATTACTATATAGTTCCTATATAATTTTGAGACAGGAACTATATAGCCCAGGCTGGCCTTGAACATACAGCAATCCTCCTGACTCAACCTCCTGAGTGCTGGGATTATAGGCATGCACCATCACACACAGCCTAAGGTGTTTTGCCTGAAAACATTCTTTGAGCATTTTGAATCAGTTTCTTCATTTTAAGGTCCAGTTGCTGCTGTTTACCTTATCAACAAGGTTAATTTATGGGTTTATAGTATCTTTAGGGCATTTGGGTGTGATGGGCCTGGAAAAAAAAAAAAACAAGCTTAGGGAGCACAAACAAGCCTGCAGAGTAGATATGAAGTACAGATACAGATAACCTTGGGTAACAACCTTGGATAACTTTGAGTCCTGAAGTTGCAGTTTTCTTAGAAGTACAATTTTAAAATTATGATTTTCCTTGTCTCCTTTTCCACCTATTTCTTCTATCTTACCTCAGTGCAACCCATGAATCTTCATATTTTGCCATTTTACATGCATTTCTGTCTAAAGTTCTTTGCAATTTTATTATGTGCAGATTTGCATAGCCACCTCCATAATTAAGATTTCAGAACTGTTTTATCACAAATATCTCCCTTGCTATGCTAGTCCTTTATAAACGTAGCCTTCCACTCCCCTACCCTCCTTCCCACCCTGTTCCTAATCTCTTGCAACCACTAATCTATTCCCCCTCTCTATAATTTTGTCAATTTGAGAATATTATGGAATCATACAGTATGTAGCCTTTTGAGATTGGCTTTTTTCCCCCCACTCAGTATAACTTCAGAGGTTTCTATTTCAGGGAATCGATGTCAATGATAATGATTTTATATTTGTTGTAGGATAAAATATTAAAATGTTGACATTCCCAGATTCACTTAATGGCTGGAATTATTTCTGACCTATCTTAGCATCTTTTTATTGCTTTATGTTAAGAAGTTGAGGGCCGGGGATTTAGCTCAGTGGTGCCACTACCTGCCTCACAAGCAAAAGGTCCTGAGTTCGATCCCTGGTACCAGAAAAAAAAAAAGTTGCACCTGTAAACATGAATAGGGTAATGTCAATTAGATATTAACTAACCACTACATACTGGGATAGTTTAAGGCACATGTGCAAAGGTTACATTTTGTTCAAACACAACAGTAAACGTGATATATCTTTTATCAGATAAAGGTATTCAGGAAAATTTCTTAGGCAAATTAGAAAAACACAAGAAAGATAAAATATTAAAAAGTTTATAAACAATTACTTAGAATCTTCTTCTCAAAGTATGGAGCAATTAGCAAATAGAGAAAATGTAAGCCTCTTTAACATCAAGTAGCCAGTATACCAAACATAAAGCTCACATGTCAAGATCACATGGTAATACCTGACTACTATTCCAGAAACTTCTGCTGAGGTTACAGAATGCCAAACGTCTGCAATGTTATTATGCAGGCTATGGGAATAGCTAGGAGATTCTAAACTTGAGCCTTGAAGAACTATTGTTTTGAATCAGGGTGATTCACAAACTCAGTCAATCCAGAAGTTCTTTGAATTTAGGACCAAGGGAAAAGTTTCACTTTATTTTTTTGTTGTGAACTTTTATCTAGACCTTCTAGGCCATTCAAAGCTGGCTTTGAATGTTTTGTAAATGTTGTGGTTTTGTTAATTTTATTCAGGTGCACTGTCTTTACACTGCAGACTTTTGAGAATGATTTATCAGTATGGAAAATGAATTTCAAACATACTTTACTTTTTTTTTTAATAATGAAATTTGTCACCTTGTATACTGTTTTTTTTTTTTTTTTTTTTTGGTACAGATAGAATTCGGGACCTTGCGCTTGCAAGGAGGCAGGTAGTGAAACCACTGAGCCGGCCCTGAAATTTGTTATCTTGAGGTATGGGGTCGAGACATAACCTTTTCTTTTTTTTTTTTGCCTTGTGGTAGTGTGTATTAACCCAAGGTCTCTGCACTCAGGTATATCCTCAGCCTTTTCTTTTTTAACTTTATTTTGAGACAGGGGCTCAGGATGAGCATAAACGTGTGACCCTCCTTTCTGTCTCCCAGAGTGCTGGGATAGAGTACTGGGATTACAGGTGTGCTTTTTTTTTTTCAAATAGACTGTAAATTGGTATGGCTTTTTTTTTTTTTGGTATGGCTTTTTTTGAATCATTTTGCGAACACAATACTATGAAATTTGAGGTGGTTTTTTTGAGACAGGGTCTTGCTGTGTAGTTTAGGCTGGCCTTGAACTCACTATGTACCCCAGGCTGGTTTCGAACTCAGTGATCTTCATGTCTCTGCCTCCCTAGTGCTGGATTACAGGCGTGCGCCACCATGCTTGGCCTTGAGGTGCTTATTATGTCCTTTGTTCTGCAGTTATACTTTCTAGTAATCTATTCCTGAAATGTAATCATACGTATGCAGACTGTGTTCATATATACATGATACTTTCTGCAACACTGTTAGTTACACTGAATAGGAATAATGTAAATTTCTACAATTTTGGAAAAGGTTAAATTGTGTCATATTAAATTATGAAATATTATGCTGTATTAAAAGAATTGATTGAAAGAACCATAATGAAAAAATAAAGAGGAAAGGTCTGAAAAGCATGTACACAAAATTGTTATAGCGGTGGGCCAGGGATTTAGCTCAGTGGTTCTGCCACCTGCCTTGCAATCACAAGGTCCCGAGTTCTATCCCTGGTACAAAAAAAAAAAAATTTGTTATAGTGGTTATTGTGGCAGGGGGTGGTTTGGGAAGAGAAATAAAAATTTCTTTTTGAGGGGACCACTTTTTTATTTTTAGGGTCTTGATAAGTTGCCCAGGCTAAGCTCAAACATGCAATTAGATCTTTCTGCCTCTGCCTCCCAGAGTATAAAACTTAATATAGTTTGCATTTTCCAATATGGGCATTTATATGCTAATTGCATAGCTAAAAACAAGAAAATTTCATCAACAGAATATATCTAAAATACAGCAATGGAAAGACTGCTCAGCTACTTATCTTGATATTTTAAAATTCTGGCAACAGGGCTGGGGATTTAGCTCAGTGGTTCCACTGCCTGCCTCACAAGTGCAAAGTCCCGAGTTCAATCCCCAGTACCAAAAAAAAAAAAAAAATTCTGGCAACATGGGGAGGCAATGTTTTCAAATGTAAATGAAATGTGAACTTAACATACAAAACAAGACATTTTGGAAAGCAAGTGAGGTTAGATACACAATACTTTAAAAAGACCTCACAGCATTAGATACCCTAGCTACTGTATCTTGAAAATTGTCTTTAGTTAAAAAAAGACACAAAATGACTGAGGAATCCATTCAACCATGAAGTCTGGAACCTGATTTTCTTGTGTATCTCTACTGTGCCTGGCACACAGTAGATAACTCTCCATAAATAATGACTGGAGGAGCCTACAGTATAAATCTTTCTAGTAGCATCCACTTGATTAAAAGCAGGAAATCAGCAAGGGCAGATGGTTGCGGTAGTTGTAACTTTTCCAATTGAGGGGGCACATCCTCCTCTTCTCAGGCAGGTTAAAAATTTCGTTGAGGATGGGCTCAGATTTTGGTGATCTGTGAATTGAAAAATCATTCAACTTCAGAACTAGACAGACTAGAAAAGGGGGTTAAAAACCCTGCGTGCTGTCACTATACACTGTATATAGATATATATTTTTATATAGGAAATCAGTTACTTTATATATATTGCAAATATATGTATTTTTGCTTACACTAAAGAGTTTTGGCCAAACGTTTCCTGGCTGTGAAACTGGATAAATCACTCTACTGGTGTCTGTATTTTTATCTGAAAAACGAGAATAATCCCTTCCTAGAAGTCAAGTCTCTCTGTACCAGCCACACTCCGCCCCCCTCCCCCGGAAGGATGAGTAAATTTATAAAAACTGCTGGCATATAATGGCCATACCCTATCTGAACAATGAAAATTTCATGTAAATTCCATACCAGACCGTCGGGTAGAAAAGCACTGACACTAAAATTGAATACAAATGAAAATGTTCTCCAGTCCGGGGCAGTCTCTCCCACCTCTTTCTCTTTCCAGCCACACCTGTCAGGCTGGTGTGGGGTCCAGCGATCTACGGGAGGGTTGGGCTCGGGCTCGGGGACCTGGGTCATTTGGCTGCGGGCCTCGGGGCTCGGGGCTCGGGGCTCCGGTCTCCGGAGATGGCGGCCGTCGCACCTGACCTCCAGCCGTGCTGCCGACAGCCTCGACCACCGGGGGCAGAAACTGGGATGGGATCTCGGAGGGACACTCCTACCTACTCTGGGGAGTCGGGTCCCAAGGCTTTTTCCGCCAGCAGGGGGAAGTGTTCAAGCCAGACCGCCTGGGTCCCTGAAGCCGGAAGGCCCGCGGGGCCGCGAGAAGGCGGGCTCCTGAGCGCGAAGCACAAGGCGCGCGCTCCCGCGAACGCAGGCGCGAGGCTGGGGGAGCGCACGCGCAGAGGAAGGAGGGCCGGGAGGAGGGGCGCAGCGGAGCCGGCGGGAAGAGGGCGCCCTGGAGCCCAGCCGGGGGCGGGCACGAGCTCAGGGGCGGAACCCGAGGGAGGGCGTCGACACTGGGGAGGGGCGGGGCCAGGCGAGGCGGGGACGCGCTCGCGGGCTGGGAAGGCGGGGGCGCGGTGGTGGCGGGAGCGTGCCCGGTCCCCGCCCCTGTTTCCCACTCTCCTTCCACCTCCGATCGCCGGGGCTCCGGAGAGGCGCAGCTCGCCGGTCCCCGGAGCCGCCCTGCTGCCGCCGCCTGCTTCCTGCGCTGGCGGTGAGCCCATCAGTTTCCCCCACAGTGCGCTCCTCGATCTGGGCCATGGATGGGTAAGTGCTGAGCGGCCGCGGCGGGCTGCGCCGGCCCCGCTTCCTCTCTGCTCGCGGCGGACGCGCCGAGGCCGGGGAGCTGTTGGCCCTAGGAGCGGCCCCGGCCGAGCCCGACGGCGGGGCTTCCAGGCGCCTCGGTGGGGATCCCCGAATCGCGGAGGCGCCGTCCGGCGAAGCCGCTCCTTCCCGCACGCGGCGCCCCCGTCTTGTCCGCCCCTTCACACCCTCATCGCGCACACTGGGAAGCGGAGGGAAGCCCTGTCCGGCCGCCGGCGCCGGGGTCCGCCCTGCGCGCCTCGACTCCGGGAGCCCGGCGGCCTCCCGACACTTCCTCTCAGAAAATGGTGCGCGGCGCTGGGGGAGGCGGGGGCGGCGCTCGGGGCGGGTGGCGCGCGTCCTCCCGCTCGGGAGGTGCTGTTTACCGGCGGGGTGGGGCGGGCGGCGCGGCGCTCCCCGCGGCCGGGCCAGTGGCGGGCGAGTGGGGACGCCCAGTGCGCGCGGCGCTGCACGTCTGGGCGGCGACCTGGTCCCGAACCGCAGTCCCGCACGTCCCCGGGGAGCGGCGAGGTCTCTGGACTTGGGCTGTGAGATGTTAACACTGTGCTCCAGGAGTCTGGACTTAGTGACCACGAACCCTTCCTCTACCCACTCCCACCCCCGAGAAACTTCGTGAATTCTCTGCCGTGCCTATGAAATATCGTGTAAGTGCTATTTCCTGGAGGTTTCAGATACAAATTAATTGAGGGGTCTGTGACCAAAATAAATAGATTTAGAATCACCAATAGAGTACAAACATTTCCCTGGGATATGTGAAGGTGGGACTTGATGTGTTTTAATGATTAATGCATTTATGGGATGGGACTTGATATATTTTAATGATTAAAGTAATCATTGAAGAGGCTTGGGGAATTAACAGAAGGTCATGTGTACGTCAGGGTTTTTGAAAGTCTCCAGCTCCATTAGATATTCCAAATTCATTTATTTATTCCCACGATGCATTTAAGATTCTATTTGTTCCGCTAGTACTGTTGATGACAAGATTCTGTAAACCTCGTTTGTGGAATATATAGAAGTTCGTTGAAAACTAAAAGCCAGTTAACATGTTGCCACATAGTGGATGATTGTTACATGGTGTGTGAAGACACTATCTTCCAACAATTTTTGCCTTCATTACATTTCATTTATCTTAGTTTCACAATACTAAGTATGATAAGTGAGTTAACTCATTTGAGTGCAGATTGCTCTGTTACAGATGTCAAAGGGCAGTTTTCGATTTTATTTGTAGTTGTAATCCTTAAAATATTTTTTATGAAGCTATTTTGTTGAATTCAAGCTTCTCTGAGAGCATTGTTGAAGACTTATTTCACATTACCTTAGTTACATTTTGTATGTGTGCACAGTTTTGCTATTTATTTTATTTTTTTGGTACCAGGGATCGAACTCGGGTCCTTGCGTTTGCTCAGCAGGCAGCAAAACCACCGAGCTAAATCCCCGGCCCCAGTTTTGCTATTTTAGTGATTTATGTTATGCCGGTGTTTAAGTTCAGGAAGTCTGTGAAATTAGTATGGTATTTCAGTGTATGTAGTGACTTGTCTTCAGGAAGTTGGACTTTAAATATGGAAGGAGGCTAGCTTTTTGTGTCAAAATTTGTGCTTAAAATCAAGAGAACTCTTAGGTTTTGTGCCTTTGACATTTGCGAAGTGTGAACATCATCTTTTCCATAGTGTTTAAGAAGTTAACTTTCCCTTTGTCTTTTAAGCTAAGAATGAGGTTATTCGCTTAAATATGGAGGGCAGTGGTATATGTACTGGAAGGTAAGTTCATTTGGGAATTCAAGTGGGAGCGCCATTTGCTCTTTGTATCAGGGCCAATAATGATACTATTACACACTTGTTTTTTTATGCAGAAAAGTTTATTTTTTAAAGAAAAAGTTTTAAAAATCATGCTCAAATTTTGGAAACACAAATTTCAAGTTTCAGAATTCTACAAAGGAAAATACACAGTTAAATTTATATTACTTAATCCAGAGTCATATATTTGACTGATTTTTATGAAATAATAAAGACAGATTTTTATTTATTTATTTGTTTATTTTGGTACTGGGGATCAAACTCAGGACCTTGAGCTTGCGAGGCAGGCACAGTGCCACTGAGCTAAATCCCCAGCCCAAGACAGATTTTAAACGTATAGGATTTTTCCAATTTTCTTTTCAAAAATATGGAGAAAAACTTTTTTTGTTTTCGGTACTGGGCATTGAACCAGAGCCTTCACACTGATCTACATCCCTAGTCATTTTTTTATTCTGAGAGTCTCCCTAGATTTCTGACTTGTCCAGGTGAGGCTCAAACTTGCAGTACTCCTGCTTCAGCCTCCTAGATTCTAAGGATTATAGGCATGTGTCACCATGCCTGGCTAGGATTTAAAATTTTTTTTTCATTTTTCCTCCAGCCTAAGAAAGATCCTTTTCCTTCATTTTGGTTAGAAAACAAGCCACAGGTCAACATACCTTTATAATTACTCTTCAAATCCCAACTGTTTTTTGTGGGTGTGACTGTTCATTTCTTCCTAAGAAGAATAATTTTCTACTTAAACACAAACAGTTTTGATATGATAGAATTTTTTTAAGCAAATCTTTTTGAAAAATTTGATGTCTGAAATTTGATGTTTATTTCTTAGTTCTGGAGGGATGTTTTAATTTTGGTGAGCAATTTGAGATGGTAAATGAAGATTTACAAGACAGTTTTTATTTCTGCAAAACCCAAGCACTGGTTTTGTTTCATTGAGAACTTTAGATATGAAAGACAAAATTTTGGGGAGGGAGAGGAAAGGAAGGGGAAGTAAAAAGTGTTAAGATGAGATCTGTTTATGTACCATTTCCTCCAAGATGAAAGTATTTATTATGTATTGCAAACATGTGCTAATTAAAAAATAAAAGAACGAATTTTGGTGATTTAGTTTGCATTTTTTAATAGAGGTAAAAGAACAAAACATGCTTATTGAAGCACAACTATACTTTTCTATTGAATTGAAAGAATTTATTGTTTCTTACATTGCTATTGAGGCTTTGCTTCTGTACTGCGGTTGCTAGACTGTTCCATCATTTTTCTTTGTATTAATATTTCACAACTTGTCACATTTTTGTTTTCATTATTTGTTGTTATAGTGCTTTTCTGTTTTTCTTTAATCTTATTATCTCTGTCTTTTAAAACTTGTTCTCTAACTTTGTCTTCCATTTTCTCTTTTTACTTTTTCCATACAGTGTTGTTACAGATCTTATAGCAGTCGGTTTAAAGGTAGGAATCTTTTACTATCCTTTCTTAATCATTTTTATATCTTAGTTTTGGCTTTTTTTAATGGTGAAGACATCTCACCTGTTCACAATATAATCTGTTATACTTTACGGTAATAATCTTTCATTTTTACTGAGCTCTCATATATGTAAACAGGTAGATAATTTTGAATTTTATGTACTTGAAGAAGGAGGTATAGTATTCTCTTACACAGAGACTGTGAAAAAAAATTGAGCTTGCAGTTTGACTTGAACTATCAGGGTGCCTTTTTTTTGGACAGATAAATATAATCTAGGCTTTAATTTATCTTTGTATCATGTCCTTTCTTGTTGGTTTGTTTGGTTTTTGCAGTATTGGGGATGAAACCCAGGTGCTCTATAGTGAGCTACATCCCCAGCCCTTAAAATTTTTTTTTCTTTTGAGAATGAGGTCTTACTGAGTTGGTACATTGCCCAGGCTGCCTTTGAACTTGCAGCCCTCCTCCCTTAGTCTCCCAGAGAGGCGGAATTACAGGAATATGCCACTGTGCTCAGCATGTATGTATGTATATATGTATGTATGTAAAACGAAAAATTGAGTCCAAAGTTCAACAGTTAAGTGTAACCTACGTTGCAATTTATCTTCATATCAAGTTCTTTTTATAACTTCTTTCATGGATATACTTACAAATAATAAAATAATAACAACTGATAGTTCCTTAGTGCCTACTATGTGCCAGATGTTTTACATGTATCTTTGCTACTTACACGAATCCCTCAAAGTAGCTAATTAGGAATCCCCTTTTAGAGATGAAAGATGGATTTGGAAAGTTTGTGTCCAAGATGTGGTACACTAGGGATCAAATTCATGTCTTCCTGGTTCCAAAGCCTGACCTTGTTTTTTTTTTTTCATTATACCTAGTTGCTAGCAATCATAGCTCTGTCCAAAAGGTAAACAGCTGGATCATTAATATTTTATAGTAATGATTTATCTAAGCTATAAATCATTTTAGTTTAAACAGGGTCTTCTCATTTAATAGATTGAAAAATATAAATTAAGTAAACAATGTTTATCAGTATGAGGCTTTTAATACATAACTGGGTGCTCTAAAATTTCCTTTAGTAATTGAGGTTTTGTTTTGAGACAGGGCCTCACTATGTAGTTTAGGCTGGCCTCAACTCATGGCAGTGGTCCTGCCTCAGCCTTCCAAGGGCTGGGATTACAGGCATCTGCCACCACACCCAGCAGTAATTGAGTATTTAGTAGCTGAGTTAACTCTCATTGAAGAAGACACTTAACAGTTGGGATATTTATTGTACAAAGTAGAAAAAAATATATCATCTTTGTGTTGTATATATTTAAAATACTGGGCTAGGGATTTAGCTCAGTTGTTCCACTGCCTGCCTCGAAAGGGAAAGGATCCGAGTTCTATCTCCTGTACCAAAAAACAACAACAACAAAAATTATAGATATATCACCTGAAGTTCTGCCACTTTTTAGTTCATGTGCTGCAAAAGCAAGCATGTATTCTACCATTGACCATCTTTGTACATCATCTTGCTAGCTATTTTTGTGGTTCTGCTTCATTTGAATTTATCGATCTCATGGTGGTGCTTATTTTCTTAAAATATCCTAAAAAATAAGCATATACAACAAGCAGCATTTGAGACTGGAATAGGATGCCCAGAACTAGCATAAGTGTAAACTATTGTGGAATTAACCTGCTTTGGCAAACTTTGAATACATTTATGAATTGGAAATAAATGGAGCAGTCCCTTTTGATGGAATACATGTTTTTTTTTTAGAGGATATGTTAAATCAGCTTTTAATTTCGGAATGATTCTTTTAGATTAGAAACTACAGGCTCAGCTATTCTTTTGATTACTTTTGGTGTCTGTAGGTACCTGTGAGAGGAGTATTCAATGCAGTTTTGGTCGTTTTATTTGGCAAAAATGAATACATGAGACATTTTATTTTATTTTATTTTTCTCATTAAGTTTATTGGTACATTTTAGGTATACAATACAGTTACATTCATCATTGGGATCTTGTACCTTTACATGAGTATCTTGGTTCTTATTTTTTTCCCCTTCCTCTGCCCTCCGTTCACCCCCTCCACCCTTCCCTATTTGCAAAGACTTTTTGTTTCCATTTTTTTCCTTTTCTCGTATTTTTCTTTTTCCTTCTTTCCTTTCCCCTACCCCTCCCACTTCCCCTACTCCTTTAGACCTTTTCTTCCTATTACACAATATCAATTATACATTTTTAAAATTACAATATCAAGATCTAGAAGACATTACCACAGATTTTACAGAATTTAAAAGGATATAGAAAGCATATTACAGAAATCTTTTTTGAAATAAATTTGACAACTTCTAAGAAGTACCTTGGAAGACAAATGAATGAAACTAACTCTGGAGGAAATACAAAATTTGAATAACACCTATTAAAGATAGTATATTCCTAGCTTGAAAAACTACCCATATGACAATAACAGGTCATTTACTTTTTTTTTTTTGGTACTGGGGTTTGAACTTGGGTCCTTGCGCTTGCGCAGCAGACGGGGAAACCACTGAGCTAAATCCCCGGCCCATGGTCATATACATTTTAACTGATAAATTATATCAAACATTTAAAGCAGAAGAAAGAACAAACATTTCTCCCCTCGTTTTAGGAAACCAACATTGTGCTAATACTAAAACTGGATAAAGATAATAGAAGAAAAAACTATGAACATAGAAATTTGTTTAACAAAACGAACTATTAGAAATCAGATCTGGCAGTATGTAGAAAGTGGTTTTATTATACGGATGGCAGTGTTGGTTCAGCATTGGAAGATCCATCCCCAAAAGTCATCATTTTAACAGAGGAAAGGAAAAAGCCATATGATCCCGTTAGTAGTTTCAGGAAAAATATTGCACTAAATTCTACAGCTGTTCATGGTAAAAGCTATCAGGAGACTAGAAGTAGAACAGAACCTTCTCAACAGATCAAAGACGTGTACTCCATACTTCCAGCAAAAATGCCTTATATGAATGGAGAAGATACAATGCTTTCTCCTTAAGGTGGGGAGCAAGGGCAGATATGCCTATTCTTTATCTGTCCATTTGAAACATAGGCCCAAATCAAAATAGTCTGGCAATAAAATGACACAATTAGGTTAGGATTGGCAAGGCAGAAGTAAAATCTTTATATGTAGAAGAAATGATCATCTACAGAGAAAATACTAAGAAATCTCTAGGAGCCCCTAGAACTTGTATTTGAATTTAGCAGGATTAGAAAACACAAGGTATATACAAAAGTCCAGGTCTATGTATACTTGTTATAAATGAAGAATTGGATATTGAAATTTAAGTTATGTAAGAGTACAAAGAACCTAGAAAACTAAAAAGAAAAGTAAAGTAAAAAGAAAAAAATAACAGTGTTGGAAGACATTTAGTACCTAATTTTAAGACTTCCTCTAAAGCTACAGTAATCAAGGCAGTGTTGGTGTAAGGAAAGACATTGGAAAGATCATTGGAATAAAACAGAATCTAGAAACAGAACCACACATATATGATCCACTGAGTTTTGAAAGATTATGTAACATTAACATTTTATAGAACATAAACTCAATTCAACAGCAGAGGAAAAGGTAGTGTTTTCAGCAAATGGCACTAGAACAGCTGGTATCCGTATATAAAAAAGTTAACCTCAGCCTTTTATTTCCATACATAAAAATAACTTGAAAGGATCTATGAACCTAAATATGAAGGACTAAAACTATAAAACTTTAAGAAGAAATTATAAGGGAAAATGTTTATGAAGTTAGGGTAGGCAATAATTTCCTAGGATATAAAAAACAATGTATAAAAGAAAAAAATTGATAAATGAGATTCCATCAAAATTTAGAACTTTAAATGACATCATTAAGGAAATGAAAAGTTGTCCTTAAACAGACCATATTTATAGTGCATATAACCTATGACCAGAATATATAAAGAACTCTTACAGCTATTAATAGACAACCCAATTAAAAAGTAGACACAAGAAGATGATAAGTAGCCAGTATAGCACAAGGAAAGGTGTGCAACACTAGAATCAGAAAAATACTAAGCAGTACAATAACAAGACTGAATTATACACTCATTAGGGAGATGAAGTTAAAAGTTTTAA